TTCTTTTTTTAAAAGAGTGATCAACAATCAGACCGTTTTCGTCGAGCAACCTAGATATAATGGCTCTTTGGATTGCCGTCCTCATACCGACGGTACCCATCAATGGTATTTTCACGACTACCCATTATTTGATTACGGGTTCGCATGTGTCGCTGACGTGGATAGTTGCAACTGTCCACCGATTGGAATTGATGATGGAGTAAAAACAACTCCACGCGATCCGTCGGCTCTTGATCAATGTTCCTTGTATACGGCCGAGTGTGATGACGAAAACTTGTATCCAATGCTCCGCTCCACGGATGCAGTGCTCACAGCTGGAGGAATTTATAGCCAATACTACGGTATTTTCGAGGAATTGATGTGTGTTAAAGAAGAAAATGCCAAGTTTGAATTAATTAGCATTCATGATGTGGAGGCTAATTAGTATGTGGTTTTCAATTTACATAGAGAATTGAATCGAAAAAAAAAGTTTGATTTTTGGAAGTGCAAAAATGCAGTGAGCCTCTCAGATTACTTCATTTATTGATTCTTTTAAAGAGTTGGTAATCTAGGTCACTAGACAAGGCCAATCAAAGGCGTCAATAAAAGAGACACAAAAACCCATTTTTCAAAAATGGAAGTTTATCATAGTTTGTTCGGTGGAGCGCATAACACACTCTTCTTAAAGGGGGACTCTGACCAAAAAATTTTATTGCATTAAAATGTGTTAAAAGTTATCTACTTTCCTAATATTATTGCGAAAAAATTCAAAAGAAATCCGAAGTCCCCGAAAAACGCCGTTAAAATGAGAAAAATTCGAAAAAGGTGCCGCCGAGGGACGAGGATTTGAATTCCCGCGTAGTGAGAAACCTAGGCCACGGCGCCTGACAGCATTATTTTCAAGTTGCCGACAGTGTTTTTTAATGTTTTTTACCTGTCGAGGACAAAAGCGAAAAAAATCCGGAAAAATTGTCCGGTAAGAAAGTCGCGCCGCTCGCGTGCCCTAGGTTTCTCACTGGAAATTCTCGTACCTCGGCGGCACCTTTTTTGAATTTTTTTCCTTTTCGACGGCGTTTTTCGGGGATTTCGGATTTCTTTTGAGTTTTTTCGCAATAATATTGGGAAAATAGATAACTTTTAAAGGAGGCGAGACAGCAAAAATTTCGGGGGACAGTTCGGGGGACGAAATCGCGCCGCGCTTATGTAGACCATCGGTCGTCAGCTGCCTTCGCGCCCCCGTAGCTCAGCCGGTAGCGGCGCTGTACCCCTGAGCTCACAGGTAGAGGGGGACTGCTGAAAAACTGCTAAATGACAGCTGAAGATGCGCAAACTGGCGAATCACTGCTAGTTGGCAGCCGAAGGAGAACTGACGGGCCGTCGACGGTCCGTCGACGGACAGTCGGAACCCCTTGGAAAACAGACTTGAAGGTTTTCATTGAAAATCATTCAGAAAACAATTTCTCATACCCCCACTAGATTGTAGGAAATGACAGAATCTTATTTTCCTAACCTCAAAAAATAGGTTGTTGAACGAATGCTGAATGACAGTCGAAGAGGCGCTGACTGGTCAATGACCGGTGGTTGGCGGGCCAAATTTCTGCAGAATGGAAAATTTGGTTGAAAAAAGATGTTTCTCTTAAAACATGATAAAAGTCATAGAAGGATCTGGGAATCTATAAAATGTGTTATTAGAAGCACTTCTACGAAAATTAGAATCTGAGGCGCGATTGGTGAAAAACGGCTAAATGACAGTCGAAGAGGCGCTGACTGGTGAATGGCGGCTGAAAAAAAAACGCTGTAAAATGAATTTCTGAATGTTTCTGGGTATCCATCTAAAAGCATGTTTTCGCATTTTCTGTTAAAATATCGTAACTGGAGTTGTCATTTCGTGATAATAATCCTCCGTTTAAGGCACGTGTTTCCGGTCATACTTTTCCCATTTTCTGAAGAGTTCCGACGAAATTTTTTTCTGAAAACGTTGTACAATTTTTGTCTGAAAATGCTGTTCTCTTTTTGTTTCTTTTTCTTCAAAAATTCGACCATTCGTTTTTAATTTCCGTTTTAGCTGACGAGTTTCGGAATTTCGGTTCGCAACGACACTCCGAAATCCCGCCTGCGCCTTGTTTAGCGACACAAGACTCAACGTATTTCTCGTCTAATTTTCACAGTTTTTTTTCGTTTTTCGAAGTGTTTTCTCATTGAAATTCAGTATTTTTCGCTCAAATTATCTAAATACTGGCATTAGAAAAGCATCAAAAACATTCGCGCACTTTCTTCCTCGCGTTTTAGTTGAAAATGCGAAAAAATCGGTGAAAACTCGTTTCGCAAGTTTTTGCTTCGGAAAGTAACAAATTTAACGTTGCAGAGGTTTTTATGTGGTGAGTTGGTGAGTTTTCATATGCTCCGAAGCAAAAACTGTCGAAATCTCTTAACTTTCTCATTCTGTTGCCGAAAATTCGCCTCGCCGACACTTCGCAAGTGTGATGTTTTGCAACTGCTCTGGAAAGTAAAAGCTTTGCAAGGTTCGCGCATGAAAAATTATACAATAATCTGTTGCTTTTTCTGCTTCCGATCGGCTTTAAAAATATCATATCAATATGCGATATGTCGAACTTTTGAAGTCTCTGCTAAAAATGTCGCTAAGCCTTAAACATGTAAAGATTTTTTATATGCCAGTTTTTTTGGGTGCTCAATTCATGTTACGAACTCATCAATTTTACTTATTCTGAAAGAAAGTCATATAAAAGCGGAAATTACTGTTCAATGAGAGAAATGCTGAAAAAAATCTTCGCATTTTAAAATTTGAATTTTTATAAAGTTGGAATTTTGCGAAAACAAAAAGAAAATCGAAGTTCTGTTCCCTATAGAATTTGTAATTTCTTATGTGTCTTCTCTCATTCTAATCATAAAAATTCAACTTCGAAAAAATCAGAGTTATTTTTTCAATACAATACACAATCCACAGAAACTATTAGTTTAATAAAGAATTTCTATTGTTTATTACCTGTTTAATGATGAACTGTCAAGAAAGCGCTATCATTTTTGACGGCCCGTCTTCGAGGCGCAAATCGTTGCAGACGGACCGTCGGCGGCGCGCGATTCGACTGCCGACTGTTCGCTTTTCGGCAGTCCGCGCCCGCCAGACGGCCCGTTTTTCGGCAGTCCCCCTCTACCTGTGCTGCCTGTCATGAGTTCAACCCCTCATCGGGGTTCTCTATGCAAAATATCAGGAAAACTTTTTTTTTTGGTGTCTGGCCTCCTTTAACACATTTCGATGCAATAAAAAATTGGACCGGAGTCCCCCCTTTAATTACTTGCGCGTATGTATGTTTTGATTTTTGTATGTACATTGAGCGATATCCACACATCTTGATCAACCTACGGATCTTGAAAAGTGTCCGTCCGGGACAATATACTTTTTAAAGCAATATTTTTATCGAATCTTCTCTAGGAGAACAAGACCTCCACGAGAAACGGTGTTTGGAATCTACGGGGTAGTTATCCTAGGTTCAAGATAATCTTAAAGATGATCTTCGGATCCTTCTTCGAGAGAAGATAAACGTGTTCTGCGGAAAGGGCTTTTTCTCCTTACCTATTTAAATTTCAATGTGAGGTGTTTCATATTTTTCAAATACAATGTTCTCCAGATTTAACACCGGTCAGAAACTGTTAGTTTCGGTATTAATTCTTTCATTAATTGCTTTCCTAACTCATACTGACCATTTTGTGAGTTCTATACATTTTGATGAATTTTTTAAACCAATAACTTCAGATGACAAGTCTAGAAGAGTTGGAGACTAGCCCAGAGTGTCAGTGTGTATCCAAGAGAACTGGAAAATCGCACAATTTCTGTTATCCGGAGCCTAGGAATCCCGGTTGGTATGGGAAGAAATTTAACTGCTCATTTGTAGAAACGTTAGAAGATTTGAGTGAGTTCAAAAGTTCAGTGTTATTTTGTAGCCCTAGAGAATTCAGATCTTCTGGATGATCTTCCTGGTAACGCTATTACTCTCAAGGAAGCAATTTCCAACAAGGATGCCTTGGTTTTCGTTTCTGCAACTTCAGAGGATCATTTCGGAATCAGCATGAGATCTTATCAAGCTGTTCGAAAATATTATCCCAACCACAAATATGTGCTTTTTGGTCTGAATATCAGCGAAGAATCGATTGGCAAGCTTCCAAAGTCGGATCTTAATTTTGAGTTTCGAGAATTCGACACGAGTCCTTATCCGGAATATGTGACGAATTTTAAAAGGTATCATTTCAAAGGATTGGTTATGGCAGAAGCAATGAGAGACTATCCGGTTCTATGGTGGATCGATGCTCATATTGAAATGATCGAGCCAAATGTGATTGAGAATTTGTTTGAGGAAATTTCGAATAATCGAATGTCAAAAAGATATTCAGAGTTGATATCGTTCGTCTTTAGTAGACACAACAATTATGCTGTATTACATTTAGGTAAGTATAAAAAATTCAAAGAAAACTATATTCTGAAAAAGGAACAATGTTTAGAGCTCCTTCACTATTTCCCATTTCATTCTTTTGATCTTCTTAAAAGCGAAATGCAACTTGGATCGGGTATCATATTTGTACCCCGAACAAAGTACAATAAGAAAATTGTAAAATGGTACGCCCTTCATCTTTTTTATATTGAAATCTTTTCAAGTTCCAGGTGGGTGTTATGTTCTCTGACTGATGAATGTATAAACCCTCCCGGGTCCAAACAAGCATGCGAATTTGATGCAAAGCATTGGGGCAACTATGGAAACTGTTTTAGGTGAGATTTGTCATAAATTTCCTGACTGACCAAATTGTTGTTTCGTCAGATACGACCAATCTGTGCTCAACATTTTACTATTGAACGACTTCCTAGACCATCAAAAGTATTATATGAAGAAATTGGAGCCATCGTTCAGTAGGATGGATTGAAAATTGTTATGAAGCATTGCAGGATATTTACTCGGGTTGTATGATATGATCTAACTATTGCTATGTAAAAATGAAACAATTAATTTTTTTGTTTTTTTTTCACTTTTAATCTTTTGGAAATCCGGGAGAACAAACGATGACTTCTAAATTTGAAAATTTTCAAGTCAAATTTCAGACCCTACCTAATTTATCTCGGTTTCTGTCAAAGATTTACAAAAACGTGTTTTTCAGTTGATTTTGCCTATTTTCACGAGACTACACAGGTAAAATGCTCAATAAAACATTTGATTCGCAAACGGATCCGTTTGGTCATGATTCGCAATCGGATCGGATACGGAGCTCGCGAACGGACAGGATACGGATAAATCCGAATAATGTACTGATATTTACTGAAAACGGTTCGCGTGAGGTCCGTATGCGGTTCCTATTTCAACCGCGCGCGAACGCGGAGCGTCCGTATGGTTCGCGAATCACCTGTGTAGAGCTCGGCTGTCAAGCGTTTGAACACCTTTTGAAGTTTTTAAAACAGACCTAGGTTGAGAGCTTTGCATTTTCAAAATAAAATTTTCTGAAAAACAAATAACTGAAAAACTAGGAATTTTCAAAAATTCTGTGAATGCAAAATTTTCAATTTAGCATACTTGTAAAATTCCGGGCCGGGCCTGAGGAAATTTTCAAGGCCCGGGTTCGGCCCGGAAGGCCCGGTGTCAAAAGTTCTGTATCTTTGAGCCAAATTTTGAGCTCTCAATATAATTTTTTTCCATTTTTTTTTCGTATTTCGGATTGTTTGTCTGTCTGATCAAAAAAGATCGAAAAAACTCGAAAAAAAATTTTTTGGTTGACAGCGGAGCTCCATACTTCTGAAAATGGTCAAAATCAACACGTTTTTATATTGACTTGTACTGTATATCTTGTTGACCGGTACTGATGATAGCAGCCTCACTCTAAACCGTCACGTCAGCATGCATACTCTCGCCCCCAAGAAATCCCCGAAAACCCTTCAAGGCCCTTCTATAACAAGCTTTTTAGCTAGGTTTGGTATTTCGCTAACATTTTTAACCCAGTGGAGAAATTTATTGAAAAAAAATCACCAACTATTCAAAAAACTGATTATTTAGCCGCATGAATGCCGAGGACCAGAGTAGTTCCGCCGTCGACCACGAGATTCTGTCCGACAATGAATTCTGAAGAATTGCGATCCGCCAGAAATGCAATCGCTTTAGCAATGTGCTCTGGACGGCCAATGAACCCTGCAGGAATGGCGTACTTGTTCGATCCAATATCATCGTAAAACTGAAACAAAACAGTAGTTTAAAATTAATTTACGAGATAGTCCTGTACCTCCTGAGCTTGATCGGCGGTCCATCCTAATTCAGCCTCGTGGAATAACGTTTTGACAAAACCAGGGTTCACTGTATTCACTCGAATGCCTTCCTCGATTAGATCGATTGCTGCAGCTCTGGTATATTGATCAACTGCTGCTTTAGCAAGAGAGTAGTATGGACGAGATTGCCACTGAAGTTAGAAAATTAAAAAATGGTAAAAAACAATAATGAAAAACTGATCTTACCCCATGTCCCAATGCCACAATACTCGAGACATTCACAATTTCTCCGCGAGTTTTTGCCAAATGTGGTCTAGCCTTCTGTGTCATTTCAACTAGACTTTGGACATTCAACTTCATGGTTTTCTCATACGAATCGATTCCTTGACTCACACCAGTTTTACCTTCGAAATCTGTTATTGAAGCGCCAGCGTTGTTGATCAAAACATCAAGCTTTCCAAATTTACTCAACGTTTGAGAAATCAATTCACCTTGTCCAGCAGACGAAGTCACATCAGCAGGAACTATCAGAAAATCCTTTTCCAAAACTCCATTACCCAAAAGCTCCTTCTTGACAGCTTGAAGGCGTTCCAAGCTTCTTCCGGTTACCGTAACTTTTGCACCTTCACGTGCAAAGTGCAGAGCAGTTTCTTTTCCAATTCCACTCGAGGAACCGGTCACAATCACAACTTTACCGTCGAATCGTCCAGGCATAGCTAATAGGAGATGTGCGAATAGGAAAGTTGGAATAAATGGAAAACGATTTCGATTTTATACTAATTTTGTATTGATGAAATTTAATGACATAATCGAATCAGCGGATCCTGTGAAGTGTTGACGACTTTTCGACTTTCGCAATTTTTTGCCTAGACCAATGTAAACACAGAAGGTAATGTAGTTGGTCAAAGATTTCATGAAGGAGAAGAGAGGGAAAATAGAGTATTGTTAATTATGATTGTTATCATTTTGCATGTGTCATCAATACACGATGTTCGTGAGAGAAAAGAAGTAAAAAAGAAGCTTGGAAAATAGCTTCTAAACCACGTTAAAAGGAGGCGGACCATTGAAAAAATATTTCTCGAAATTTGGTTCGTAAAATCCCCTCGGGGGTTGAACTTGGGGTTCATGTCATACATGATAGTAGCAACACTGTACACTATCCCGTTTGAATTTCTAATTTTTTTAATTTTCGAAATTTCTTCTTTCTTCACCATCCTCTTATTCAGGTAACAATTGAATGGAACTGTGTGTTCCTGTTTTAATGCCATTGCAGTTTTATTTAGCTACTATTTCAGTTATTCAGCTATTAGCGGCTATATTTAAATTTAAGAAAAACGTTTGTTGTACCAACAGGTGCTTTTTATGTCAAAAACGTAAGATCACGCTATTTGTGACATTGTAAGTAGGCTAAAATAGTCTTACAATACCAATTGGTCAAAGGCAGCCAAGTTCGTTTAGCTCTGCTCTGAATAACTATCATGTTGTTCATTTTTTTCGTTGGACAGTTTAAATAATTTGCAATTCTCTGATTGCGGAGGCTGTAATTATATTTCAGCTTACGCAAAACACCTCATACTTTCGACATTTGGAAAAAAAATCACCTGTTGGTACATTTCTTCCTATGAATAAATTATTGAAACTGATTAAGAATCCACCAGTCACAAAATCAGAAACTCATACTTCCGCTTGAGTAGAGGAAACTGCTCTCATTCAGTTCCCCGACACTTAACGCAACTAATCGTCCCTCTCTTTCAGTAATCTGAATAAGTTTGCCAGGAGCTCAAAAATGAGTTCCTGTGCCGAAGAACTTTTCCCAGGCTTCAGCAATGGTGATTTTTTATGCGGGTTTCACGCTATACTTGAGTCAGTTTTACAACTGCTTTTTCACTAATATAAATTTTACACGTTTAGGCTGATCGCTGATGCTGCTTATGACAACCAAAATGAGATTGCTATGCCTTTTTTACTTATCAACATATTTCATTTTATCATTCTCACTAGAAAGTCAATGAGAATTTCCTCAATTAACGTACTAATTGCTGCGGTCGCATTCGCTGATATGTGTTCTTTCCTATATGCAACGGAACAGATCCTAACAAAAGTTCTATATATTCACAATCGGTGTTTATTTTCTGGCTCTTATTGGAAAATTGTGATAAACCTCAAGTTAGATGCACTTGCTAAATGCGCAAGGAAATGTTCCACGTGGTTTTCTTTGTTTGTTGTTCTCATACGAACTCTTGTTGTACGAAATCCGTTGAACTCGTTTTATCAGAACTTGACGAACCCACCGGCAGCGTACAAAACCATACTAGGAGCCATTTTGTTGTTTTCACCTCTTTTTGTTGTACGAAGTATAGAAAGACAAGTTTATGTATTCAAAACAACAAGCATTTGCAAGCCTAACCAAACCTTTGTTAGTTATGGTACCATGAAGAATGAGGATTTTTTGGCAAATGATAGACTAATTATGAAAATAGTTGAACCTGTCGACTCGATTCTATCAAATGTAAGTTCGTTCTTCAACTGGCTGCAACGGACCGGCCAATAATATTCTGCCAGACTTAATGAATTAGTAAAACATAATTAAACCTGGAGAAAAATATTGGCCGGTTGGTTTTGATTCGTATGCAAGTATGAGTTTTCCAATGTCTAAACCAATAAAGTTCCAGATAATTCCATGTATCCTTTTCCCAATCGTCACGGCCTTCTTGGTTAAAGAAATATGGAAATTCGCAAAAAATCAGCAACGAATTGCATCCTCCAGAAAATCATTTGAATCACAGAAAACCACAAAAATGGTCCTCTTGTTTGCGGTCACATATTTTATATCTGGATTTCCTTTGGGAATCGCCTCAGCATTAGTACCGTATTACATCAACGGTATACCTGGAATTGAATCCATCCTTTATTGTTTTATCTATTTCTTTGGTTCCGTTGTTACTTTAAACACAGTAACTCACTTTTTCGTTTGCGGGATAATGTCAGCTGACTACAGAAAAACAATGCTTTCAGTGGTTCGGTGTGGGAAAGAGGTAGTTAAAATGTTTTGAGAAATTTAAAAAAAATAACATTCGCAGAAATCCAGCTTGGGCGTTGTTGTGCATCTTCAAGTGTTGTGGTTTCATTCTGATTCTTCTGAAGCCGTCATCTCGATCGTGTGGTTTGGACGATAACGGCTCGTGATCCCTAATAAGCGAGTTCAATTATCCAATTCATCAGAAACCTCGAAGTATATTTTCCCTGTTTTTTTATCTGTTCGCTAATGTTTTTCTTTCATTTCTCCCGACTTTCGGATTATTTTTTTTCGTATGGAGAGTCCAAAAGTTTAATTGTTACAATGTGGAAAACATTCAAAAATTCAGAATGGCAAACTTGAGAAAAATTAACTTTTTAGTATTCTCATGACCTCAAAAGTAATATTTTGACATTAATTCCAGATTCTTCAATAAAGGTTTTCATTCCGACATGAAAAAAATATCTATATTTTTTTCAATTTTCTTTCAACTCTCACATGGAATGACTCCCAAGTGTTACCCTCGAAAAAATTGAGACCTATATGGTTGGATAGAGCGTAAAAAGTTATTTTAGATTCCGAACGGAATAGTTGGTAAAAAATGTTTTTTGGGAGTTATGGTCCAAAAAGTACCAAAAAATGCCTAAATTTTCAAAAAATCATAACTTCGTCAGTTTATGTCCGTTTTTTGCAATTAAAAAAAAAGTAGATAGACAATTTTTTGAACATTTGAGAATAAAATTTTTCAATTTTTTTCCTATTGATTGGATTATTGATTTTTTGAAAAAATTAAAAAAAAATTTCCATATCTCAAAAATCCTAGGTTAACTTTTTTTTTCATTATGACCATTGAATTCAGCACATTTGATTTACTATAGAATCATATCAATACCCCGGGGGAGATCATGCTCACACAAGTTATGCCGAAAAATATCGATTTTTGGCACTTGGCTTCTTTGAATTCGTTGTCCTCGGCGGCCGGTATGATGAGGGGCATACTTGTTTATGTGATTTTTCCTTGAGTATCGTTTGCCTAGAGTGTTTGAAATAAAATCCTGCGACATACAAAGTCAATTTTTCAAATGCTGTACCATTTCTTAAAATCATCATCTTGAAAAAAGCAAAATTTTGACATGTGACAGGGCACATCTATAGTTAAACTTGATAGAAACGGCCAAACTATTTTTTCAACATAATCAGAAAAACGTAATCTTATCAACGGTTTGAACAGAATTTCGATTTAGGCCCTTGAAATAAAAATATTCACTGATGATGGGACACCTTTTGTTTTTGATCATAACTTGAGAACGAAAAAAAATATCAAAAAACTGGTAACGCCATTCGATTTAAAATTAAAAAATACTATTAGACAAATGTTATTGGTTTGTTTCGTATCTTGAAAATAGGTGAAATGGAAAAAGGTCGATTTCGGCTGTCCGAAGCTGGAAGGATATCTTTCGGAAATCGTTCATTTAACCTACTTTCACCACAGGGACCAAGTTGATTCTACTTTTACTATGTTATTGTTTCATTTTAAATCGAATGGCGTTAACAGTTTTTCGATATTTTTTTTCGTTCTCAAGTTATGATCAAAAACAAAAGGTGTCCCATCATTAGTGAATATTTTTATTTTTAGGGCCTAATTTAAAATTCTGTTTTAGCCGTTGATAAGATTTTGTCATTTTAATTATGTTTAAACAAGAGTCTGGCTATTTCCATCAAGATTAACTATAGATGTGCCCTGTCACATGTCAAAATTTTGCTTTTTTCAAGATGATGATTTTAAGAAATGGTACGGCATTTGAAAAATTAACTTTGTATGTCGCAGGATTTTATTTCAAACACTCTAGGCAAACGATACTCAAGTAAAAATCACAAAAACAAGTATGCCCCTCATCATACCGGCCGCCGAGGACAACGAATTCAAAGAAACCAAGTGCCAAAAATCGATATTTTTCGGCATAACTTGTGTGAGCATGATGCCACCCGGGGTATTGATATGTTTCTATAGTAAATCAAATGTGCTGAATTCAATGGTCATAATGAAAAAAAAGTTAACCTAGGATTTTTGAGATATTGAAAATTTTTTTGATTTTTTCAAAAAATCAATAATCCAATCAATAGGAAAACAATTGAAAAATGTTATTCTCAAATGTTCAAATAATTGTCTATCTACTGTTTTTTTAATATATTGAAAATTTTTTTGATTTTTTCAAAAAATCAATAATCCAATCAATAGGAAAACAATTGAAAAATGTTATTCTCAAATGTTCAAATAATTGTCTATCTACTGTTTTTTTAATTTCAAAAAACGGACATAAGCTGACAAAGTTATGATTTTTTGAAAATTTTTGGCATTTTTTGGTACTTTTTGGACCATAATTCCCAAAAAACTTTTTACCAACTATTCCGTTTGGAATCTAAAATAACTTTTTACGCTCTATCCAAACATATAGGTCTCGATTTTTTTCGAGTGTAACACTTGGGAGTCATTCCATGTCAGATTTTTCAGATTTTGACGTTTTGGACCCCCCAACCCAAATATTTTTCAGACATTTTGAGTCTCAAAAATTATTTTGCTATTTTGCTAATATTTTACATACAGTGGGCCTTTGAAAAGTTTATTTTTTAACTTTACAAAAAATTGCTTATTTAGCAGCATGAATTTCAAGGACCAGTGTAGTTCCGCCGTCGACCACAAGATTTTGCCCGACGATGAATTCTGAAGAATTGCGGTCCGCCAGAAGTGCGATCGCTTTGGCAGTGTGCTCTTGATGGCCAATGAACCCGGCAGGGACAGCGTACTAGTTGGATCCAATATTTCCATGAAAATGAAGTAGAAAAAACGTTCAATGGGAACATATGAAAAGTCCTGTCCCTCCTGAGATTTGAGCATATTTATTTCGGTTAATATGGGAGATATTTTAAAAACAGTAACTGTCAAAATATTTTTGATATTATGATGAACATTTTGTCAGTTGGTCATATTTCAATATTTTTTACAGGAAACAGGGAAAATTGGCTCAAAGTTGTATCTATATACTACATCGGTCGGCAGCCGACACTTATGATCGCGTAGGTCAGCTGATAAAGGCACGGCACCTAATTTTTACCGCAAGTTAAACTTTTTCTGGCGCTAGAGGTCTTACAGTGTAACAAGTACAACAATGTGAAGTATTTTAATGCATTTATTGGTAGCACCCATAATCAGACGACCAGAATGGATTAGTAAAATAATGGAAAGTAAATGGCTCGGATGATGGACCCGAAAAATATTCGGCATCAGTATGCATACATTTAATATCCTTCCTTTGAGGCATCACACATTTTTCGGCATTTGGACACTCGGTGAGCTTTCGACCATAAAACTGTTTTAAATAACATTTGAACACAACTGGGAAGTAAAAATCTCTACTGGGAAGGCGCTTTGCGATTCTGGCTACTTCTTTATTTTTCTTCATCCTTTGAATATCTTCATGAATTGCAGCAATATCCACTTCATGAATCGTCTCGTTGAATCGCCAAAATCTCGACTTCCACATATCCTTAATTTCATTATTTCCATTCTTCTGAATCGGTCGTTGCACGTGGATCAGATGAGGTGTTTTGATATGGATTCTTGAAGAAGGAAATTCGAGAAATGAGTCATGAATAGAGCTGTAGAGCTCTTACCTCTTTGTCGGATCTTCTCGATGGCTTGCATGAATCCACGTAGTATTGTGACGATCCGGTTTAACGACCACTTTTCCTGCTCTCGTGTAAGAAGTTTTCAAACTGGCGACCAGTTCATGGAAATCGTACTCAGCTAGTGTTTCGGCTGAAATCATTGCAAATATGATTGAAAATTAGAACGCTTGATGTACCTTTAATGAACTCATGTTCTCGTCTACCGTACACCAAAGAAGTGGCATCTGGCTTTTGTGCATATTCGGCATTGAACTCCTCAAGATAGGTGGGATAGTTGAGTGGGAAGAGTACATCGTCCAGATCAAAGAAGGCGATGTATTCGGCAGCTTCCTAAAATACTCTAGCTCGTCACATGTCTGGAGCGTTCGTGGTTTACCTTATACTGCAACAAGCAGTCCGTAGTGCACCAGCTTGATTTCTGAGCTCTGTATTTAGATTCGGCTCGAAATACTGAGATCCAGGCTTATCGAATTTCATTCTCATCCACTTTTCGATTGTCAAATATCCTTGACGCTCGTATTCTTTCATTAACTCAAAATATGCCTTCACAATTGAAATGACATAGATGTGAATGTGAGCTCCGAATCTGGAAGACTTCAAATTTGATAAAAATATTCAGTACTGGTCAACATTTGCTTATTTCAGAAGTCTGGATTTCGGCTGTCAAGTGTAGGATCACTTTGGAAACTTTTAAGGGTGTAAAACAAACCTGGATTGAAGCATTTGCATTTACAGAATTTTTTCGACAATTCCTAGTTTTTCAGCTATTTGCTGATTTCTGATCACCGGTTTTTTTTTCGTGCCATTGAATGAATCCGCTTAAAATCTGTCACGGATCAAAACAAACAACGGTATTGAAGATTGTAACGGAAGATAGAAAAAGAGAAGAAGCAATGAGAAAAATAGATTTTCTAAAAGCGCTCAGGAAAGATCATCTAATCTTGACCGGTTTTTTTTTTCATAAAATGAATCCGTTTCAAAATCTGTCATGGATCAAAACGAACAACGCTGTTGAAGATTGTAGCGGAAGATAGAAAAAGAGGAGAAGCAATGAGGAATTTTTAAAGAATAGATTTCTTAAGAGGAGAAATTTTTGAAAATTTTCAAAGTGATGGGAAATTTGATAGCCGAGGTCCAGACTCTTGAAAATCCTCAAAATCAACTGGAAAACACGTTGTTGTGTATACAAACTCAAAAACCTACCTATGAGCAGTATGAGCATGCATCAAGAAAATTTGCCATTGCTCAGCGACAAATTGGGGAGAGATACAAATGATAACAGGTTTTGGAGCAGTGTATCGAGCCATTTTGAATGGGATCTCTACTTTTGTTCCACCAGATTCCAATTCCAATTTCTTCAAATTCTCCACCGTATTCCCTCTAGCCACTGTCGGTGCGTATCGGCACATTTCCTCTTCTTCACTGAAACATTTTTTTTGTTTTGAACAATAAGACCAATGAACAAAAAAATACATCTGAGAAATTGCGAATCCTGATTCTGTGTGCGTTCCATTCGAGCCCACAAAGTTGTAAGTGTGTTTTGAGATATCAAAGTTTTTGGAGTCCACAACCATGTTGAATGCGACAGCGTTATTTCCAAGTCTGAAATTTTTTTCGTGTATTTTCAGTGATCACAAAATAAAAGCTTACGATTTAGAAGTGGGATAATAATAAGCAGATGCCACGAAGACATGAGAAACGGGAATTTTTCGGGTCAACCGTTCGGATTCTTCACTCAGTAGATATTCGGAAACTGGAGGAGCTGGAGTTCCATCGATGATTTCTGCTGAATCGCCTTTTGGATGCTCTGGATCCTCATTGATCTCATTGCCAAAATCTTTGCATTTGTAATAAACATAGCCACAACACACCGAAATAGTGAGCAATAGAATCAGTTTTTTAGAAATTCTTCCATACGATGAAGACCCCATTTCTTTTTTGTTGGAATTGAGGAGGGGTAGGGAAGCGATTTTCATTTGAAAACTAAAATAAGGAGGAGTGGAAAAATGAAATTTCTAAAAGCACCTCAATAAAGATCATCTAATCTTGACCGGTTTTTTTGGAATGCCAAGAAATGGATCCCAATCTGTCACGGATCACAACGAACAATGGCGTTGAAGATTGTTTCAGGAGATAGGAAAATATGTGAAACAGTGAACAGAGAAGTGTTAAAATACGGAATTTTGAAGTTTTTATGAAACACTATTAGGTTGGCAGGAAAGTAACTGTCCCTTGTTTTAATTGTGGCACCATGGGGTGCAACTAATTTAGGGGTACAAAATCAATGAGGCAGGGGTACAAAGGTTCTGTCATAAATGGGTTTCCTGTAATGGTGCATTATCCATTGGAATCTGGATTTTGATTTTACAATTCCACACGATTCGGTGCCTACTACAATTCAATAACACCTACAACATTCAATAACTTCTAGATTCGCCAGGAACTTATGAGTTGAGTTTTTTGAACTGTTAAACTTCCAAGTATAGCTTACATGGAATGACTCCCAAGTGTTGCCCTCGAAAAAAATCGAGACGTACATGGTTAGAAAGAGCGTAAAAAGTTATCCCAGAATCCGAGAGGAATAGTTGATAAAAAAATTTTTGGGGAGTAATGAAAAAAATCAGCGGCTTTCAAAAATCGACTATTATCCTGTGATCTAAAACATTTTCTTGTCTTGAATTCAACTAATTACTAACTCGGTTTTTCCTCCATCTCCCATTTAATACAAATGTATGTCCCTGTTATATCTCCTAGTTTCATACACATTTCACGTGTTAGTGGTTTTCTCCTCTTCGTTGAAATAAATAAATAAAAAAAATAAAAAATAAAAAATGGTCCAAAAAGTACCAAAAAATGGCTAAATTATCAAAAAATCATAACTTTGTCAGTTTATGTTCGTTTGTTGAAATTCAAAAAACAGTAAATAGACAATAGGGTTTCCATTTGGGGGGAGATTCACCCGCCCGCACCCGCCCGGGGGG